TTATACGCGTCATGTAGGTCAGTGAATCGCAGCTTGAAATGATCGTGCACGAGTTATATGTCATGCTGTGCTGGCCACGTATTATGCATGAAAAAGAAACGGTCAAGACGGTCGTTTGTCTTTGTCTAGTAGAATACCATCAAACGACAATAGTTTCGTAACTTGTTTGGTGCATGTTAACGACGTCATCGACGAAATTACGAATATTTGGCAATTTCGATTCTTTTATTAAGCTTTACGTCGATTTTTAATACTGTCCATATATTCCAAGATGAATGATTTACATACCGGAATTAACGAATGTCACCATGATAAGCATTTTTATCGTCGAACGTATCCATTTCGAGGAATATATCGCGACATATCGAGCGACAATGAAATTCCTATGTGAGCCACGCTTCATCGATCACGTTCTTGTCCTTATACTATTTATACATGTATGTTACGCTTCCTTTTGCCTGCTTCAGGTCACTTACACTTAATAATACGGGTGGTAAGAAATAAGAAAACTTGTGCGAGCAAACTGTTACTTTCAAGCATTTTCGAGAACCAAAACAAATTCGATCGAACTATCGATAGTCGTGGAAGCGCGCGATATCATCGGCGTAACGATTCGATCATCGATACCGGTCGATCGAATTTTTAGCAACCACCATTATGCAAAGAACCGAAAACCTTTCCAATCGTATGTTCGAAATATCGTAATAATAACGTACAATTTAATCTAAAACTACATAATCTAAGATCTAAGTTATAAGCCTTACGTAAGTGAGTCCAGATGACAATTTGATACGGTGTACGAAACAGGTGTAAAGATTCAAATCCTTCTGGCTGTCAGTCTATGTTCAACTACTCTGAATTATGCACGTTATTAATATTTTTACACACTATTACCGGCACTGATTTCGACAACCAAAGAGAGAGTACACAAACAGCACTAAATTAAAGCGTGGAACACAGTCCGCGAGAAACACGATAACAAGTTACCACCTCAGAGTTCGCCGGGCGACTGTGACGAATTGCGTACGCGTCGGACTTCTTCGACAAACTTCGCGTACTTTCGAACGTAGCGGCGAACTTCGCGCCACTTGCCCACCCTGCATCCCACGCACGCGATTGGTTAACGCCTGGCGCCTAATTTAAACGTAGATTTCTTATGTAATGTATTAATAAATATAATATTATTTTTTACGAAAGCAATTTGGAAACGATTTTCAATAACATATACAATTTATAAGAATAGAAATAACCTTCGAACGATAAATTAAACCTGACAGAACGATTTTGCAGGCACTACGAACTTCATCTTTCTTTTTTCACTTTCTATTGCTACTTAAGGGATAGAAAACGAATAAAGGAATTTGTTCGTGTCATAAATCACCATAATAATAAATACGCCTACTGACTAATGCAAATTGAATGCATGCATTACCAGCACAGGCTTACTATTTACGTAGGCGTTAGTGGAACGTGTATAGAAAGTTATAAAAGAAAAAATGCAGTATGTGGGTAAAGCTCGCTCTAAACGAAACAGAGATCATCCTCTATCTGATTTACTGATGGCTATTTTAGAGAAACCACTCCTGTTAACGTATAGAAGTTTCTCTACAGTGGTCATTGATTAATTCTACGAAATTACTTAATGAGCTGCCTCGGTGAAACTGTATTAATACATACTGCGTAATGTCAGATATGCAAATATAATATAATACAGCCACTGAGATTCTTTTTAAAAGTCACGTTATACATTTTTAGCATGCATGTTCTCGATTAGATCAGCTTCAAGAGACTTTTGTATTATAATAGATGTTTTCTTCGCGATTGCAGCATTAACATTGATAGCAAAGTGGTCGAGAAACGAGCTAATCTTTCGTAGTCATCGGGTATCGCGTGAATGAACAAGGAAAACGGAAAGTATAATAATCCAAACAAATACCATATCGTGTCCCGGTGAAACGGCTAGCAAATGTATTTCCATTGATAACGATGACGAGAGATCGCGAGTTCTGCATAATAATAAGATCGTATCGGCAACAATAAAAAAAAGGACAAAAAGGAAAACACCTTGGTGCGAAGAAAGATCTGTCGCGACGAATACGAGAACAACTTCGTAACAAGGCGTCAAAGAACGTTTCGTCAGAATTATTTATAATGATTGTGGCGACCGCCACGGGGAGGGCCACGCACTTAGGCCTGAAAACTCAGAGATGTTTGGAGAAACATCTCTCGATTCTTCGTCCTCGAGGACAAGAGTATTGCCTCGGCAATGCAGGCCCGCGCCTCCACTTCCTGGGACTTTCCCAGGGAAAAGGGCCTACTTAAGGGAGCCCCGAAAAAGGCACGAGGCCTTTTGTCGTAAACATTCTCTGCAAGCGCATCACATAGTACATTTGAAATTAGTCTAAGCATTACGTTTAAATAAATACATTTTTGTTACCCACTTGGCGAGTAATCATTTGCACCACGTCACTTCCAAATGATCTATTCTGTAATAAAGATACACATCTCGAATAATATTCTTTATTCTATCAGCTATCCACAGGATATAGGAAACATGCTACTTTTATCGTCCACTTTATCTCGATTGAATTCTCCACCGATCGTATCGAATCAATGTGTGATAAGATACCGGTTATCAAGCCAGTTTGCTCTTTTGGCGTAATGTTTACGATGACTCGTTGCAGATAATTAGTAGCGAGTCTTTATAAAGTATGTTATGTAAACGAAAAGTACTCTATGATTGGTATTACGTTCATTTTTCCATAACAAAACCATTCACGAAAAAATCTTGCGAATTGTTACCTGCAAAACACATCGAAATTTAAAGATTTGATTGTACATATATACATATATGATAAGAGTGATATTTGAGGGTAAATTTTACTTGGACGGATATTCCAGGCGATAAGACGAATTTATTTAGCTGACGCGAATTTTAAGGCGGCAGATTAGAGGGACGAAGGATGGAACCGTGAATCTGTTGGTATCATTCAGACTTTATTATAGCATAATTCGAGCATTGTACGTGCGAATAATGAAGACGCCTTTCAACAGCATCCGACCAAATGAAACCGTCGATTGAAAGTAATTATCAAATGATCCCGATACGGAATGATATGGAAAGTTCATTGTACAGGAACCTTTCATCATCTAACAAGTCAATCGACTTAATAACTCGTCTCGAATAATCCTAACCTGTAATATACATTATTCGTCTATTAACTATTTCTCGTTTTGTACAGGAAAAAAAAATTTGTTATACCTGAAAAACTTCGTTTTTTACAAAGTAAAACGTGTTATTTCAACGTGTTACATTATGTAGTCGATGTTTTTCGTCGAATTAACAATCCACGATGCAACTCTATTGAAAGTGAATTACGATATATTGTGATCCATCTTAATAGAACAATTCGAGATGCGACCTATTTTACATTGTCTTGGCTCAAGTGCACGCAGCTGCACTAAACTGCAATTTCTATTGTCGCTTATACCTCGGACGATATCGCGTTGACCGTAAAAAGTAACATAAAATTTTGGTGACACTGAAACATTAGGGTAAAGAACGCATGACGCCGTTCGTTATTTCACTGAGAGTTTTTTTTTTTTTAACGTTTCGAGGAAGAAAGAACTTGATAAACGCCGTTAAGCGTTACTTTAATTCAATTACGTTAATAACGAGATCGTTGATAAAAAAGGACGTGATATTAACCACTGGCGTTTCTTTGGTTAACGAACGTAACAAAGTTGTCTTGATATAAATCATGGAAATAATTAAGAAAGGAAACTCGGAATTACAAATTACAAGTATTATTATTTACGAAATAAAAATTGTTTTAAGTACTGAATTCGGTGTAACGTAATACAGAAATGATTTCCTGAAGGCGCATTAACACTTCCTACTTTGATAACGGAAGTTTAAAGCAGAAAAAAATTATTGGTTGCGCATGGCAGCATTTCTTCCTACTTGTGGTTGCTTTCGTTTTTTTCTATTTTTTTAACTATTTGATTGATTACTTCAAAAATTAGCTCAAAACAAAAATTATCAAGCCATTTCGAGCAAATTAATAACGTCTATACATTTGTGAATCATTTTTCTAAGTAAACTGCACTATGTAATGTAACCTCATAAAACTACCAAACACGTGGGTCAATTCTAATGGACGCGTGAAACGCGACGAAGATATCGGTCGTGGTGCAGTAATTGTTATGCAACACCAGCAGAAATTGAGACTCGGCTCATGTGTGCACGAATACGTGACTATGTCGACACGTACGACCGACTAGCTATGCAAATTTAACTACAGGAAGATTCGTTTGTTAAATGTCCCGAAGGTCTTGCGCTAACCTATGCGAACTTTTTAAGTTCCGCGGCACTGGCATTCAGAAAAACGCAATTTTAACATAACATCGATTTTAACTTGAGACTAAAATAATAATAATTAAACTTGTTTCTTTTTCATTACTGCAATATTATAGTTATAATTTATGCCTTTTAAAGAGTCATTAGGGATTCTAATATCAGGTCTCAATAGGGCGGATTTTTATTTTTTCTAAAATGATTATTTTTAATTTAAATTTGAAATTAAGTACGAAGTCTGCCTGTAGATGCCACTATTGTTTGACAATGAATTTAAAGAAATCGAAATTTATCAAAATGGCGAAAATATTAAAAAATTTATTAAAGTTTTAATTAAGGTATGATTTTTAAATAAATATTTTATATTCGTCTAACTTACTTGTTAGCTAAATGCGTACAACGTCATTTCACATAGAGCCACTGTCCATCTTCATTTGTGTTAGTTCTAGGATTTCCATATAGATCTATGAGACTCGGTGTTATAGAACAAATTTCGGAAACGAAGATTTTGTTAACCGAAAAAGGATACTGTTTGACTCAATAATCAAATAAAATACAATCAAAGTGTTAAGAATTCAACACTATCGATACTTTTCTGTAATTAAATATTTTGTGGTTACTTTTTGCCATTGTTTTAGAATTTTGCTAAAACCTGTCATTTTTCCGTGACACAGATTGTGTTAAAATTTGTAAAAAATTATTTTAAACATTAACAACATGGATAATTTGGAATGTTGGATATCTCGCAAACTGGATGACCTTTTGGGTAAGCCAATTCCAAGCTACATATTGCGGTAAGTAAATTTAAAGAGAATTTATTTTTCTATCGTGTTTATTATAACCAAAAAAACCTAATATTTTATGCTTTGTCAGACATATAGCTGAAATAAAAAAGGAAGACAAACTGATAACATATTTGGGATCCATTTTAAATTTTGATAATGAAGAGCACAGACAATTTATTGTAGATTTGAAAAAACAAAGAGGTTTGTATATTTACTTTTTACATAAACATGTCAAAATCACTTAACATTTTTTGCCATTCCGTATATTATTTTAGCTATCATCAAAGATCAAGCTAATAAAAAAGGAGAAGTGAAGACAAAGGAAAATAAAAAAAACAAACAGGTAAATCAATATTTGTGTTTTATCCAAAGATTATAATAATGAATTAAACTTCAACATTGTCTATTTAGATGCAAGAAACTGTAAAAGTAGAAAAAATAGATAAGAAGAAATCTAAATTTGTGAATTTGTATTCTCAAGAAGGCCAAGATAAAACAGTAGTTTTATTAAAAGGTATTTTATATGCAAGAATAATCAAAATATATGCAATTACAATACTAGAAATAATATAAAAACATTTCAGGTAGACATAAATGTGATTGTGAAGCAAAGAGACATGCATTGATTAACAATTGCCTCAACTGTGGTAGAATAGTTTGCTTTCAAGAAGGGTCTGGACCTTGCTTTTTTTGTGGAGAACTTGTATGTTCACATGAAGAAGAAGCCACTATTAATAGTACAAAGAGACAAGCTGATCAATTGTACAATAAATTGATGAACCAGAAACCTAATAAATATCTGGAAGAATCCATAAAACAAAGAGACAAACTTATAGAATATGATCGCAATGGGTACGCATTATATAATTCTTTTATACGAAGATAAAATTCTAACTGATTCCGTTATTTTGCAGAGTGCAATGCACAAAAATAATTGATGATGAATGTGACTATTATCAGTCAAGTAATATGTGGTTAACAGCTGAGCAACGGGAAAAATCAAAGAAGTTTGAAGAAAACATGAGTCAAACAAAACATATGTCACGTCTAAATAGAAAACTTCATATAAACTTTGATTTTACAGGCAGAGAAGTAACAGAAGACAATTCAGTTGAGGACTTTAATGAATTCAATGAAGAACAGTTTCAAGACATCCTAGAGTCATTCAGTGATAGTAGTAGTAATATTTGCCCAAATATAGAATTTAATCGTCCAATGGTAAAAATATTACTAACAAAATCTTTAATATATTAATATAATTACTTATACTGAACTATTATTACACAGTACATAGAATCAGATGAGTCTGAACTACAAATGTTGAAAGCAAACATTCCTTTAAAGACAAGGAATGTTGTTCAAGATAAAGAATTTTTAGAAATGTGTGATCCTGGTTTATGTTTGAGCATGCATCAACCTTATGCATCCTTATTAGTAGCTGGAATAAAAGTGTAAAGTCTAATTTTGTTACAATTAATTAACTATATCAACATTCAATCTGCAATATTTTTTTAATACTTTATAAATATTACAGTCATGAAGGTCGTATTTGGTACTCGTCGCATAGAGGAAGATTGTGGATTGCTGCAGCATCTAAAACTCCAACCAAAGAAGAAATTTCAAATATGGAACATTATTACCGTGTTTTAAAAGATGGTTAGCATCATTTTAAACCTATGAACAAAAAATAAGCTTCTATTATAATGATACCTATTACGATTGTTTACAATTAATTACGTTAATATTTTATAGAAAAACTCAAATTTCCTGAGAGTTATCCAACGAGTTGTTTGTTAGGATGTGTATCTGTTGTTGATGTTTTGCCGCAAGAAGAATACAGAAAGTCTTATCCAGAAGGGGAGAGTGATAGCCCTTATGTTTTTATATGTGAAAATTTTTATACATTGCCAATTAAATTTCCAATGCAAGGAGCACATAAAATTTGTAAGTAATTCTTCAAGTTTTAATGTATCTTGCATATTAAATTAAATGTGATTTTAATACTTCTTTCTATTGTTGCATATAGATAAATTGGACAAGAAAATTCATTACGCCGCTCTTAAAATTATAGAAAAAATGTCAACAAATAAAAACTAAATTTATTCTAATATTAAGAGTTTGTAATTAGAAATATCCTACTATTAAAAATAAAGTACATTTTTTCACAATGTATATTAAATATTATTTATTATTTGTACATAATAGAATATATTACAATGTACATATAGCTTGCAATATATGTATTACAATAGCCATTACAAGATATATATTTTTTTACACTAACCATTTATTTCTTTTTCCACATTTCCTTTTCTTACATGCATTCAATGAAAAAATATTACCTGCTTTCTTATATTTCCGTTAAAATATCAGACTTTAGTAAACGTTAAAAGTAGATTTCAGTAAAGTCACTTTTACATTAAAACAGTCTATACATTTGAAGTACAAAGGGAACATTTTTCATCGAAATATGGCGTTATAAAGTTTATAACAAGGGATTTCCTTCATTAGCCTATAATCCTCAATAAATGTCTATGATTAAAAATGTTGATAAGTAAATTACAAATTAATATTAAAGTTTTTAGAGCATCTAGAAGATTATCCTGCAACAATTTATAGAATACTAAAAGTTCCTGGAGTATGCAAGTTATCCTGTATAACAGCTTCAACAAATTAGAAATATTAAAAACAAAACTTTGTACTTATAAGCTAGTTCAAAATTAAATAAAGCTATAACACCATTACATGCAATGAAAGAGCACACGATTATAATAAATAAAGCTATATGTAAAGGTTATATCTATTTTTTAAAATAAAAGTAAGGTACAAATAAATTTCTGAAAACAAAGTGTATTATGTATTAATATAGATGCACTAGGAATGTATAAATAAATATCAAACTACCTCAGATAGATTTTAGTACAAAATTAACAATTGCTTAATGCAATTTTTAAATTGAAATACTTCAAACGCATTAACAGGATATATAGATTCAAATTACATGTTTATTAATCTGGATACTGTGCATTCTATCAATTATTTAATTTACATTTCTTTTCTAAAGGTACACAAGTATTATAATTCTATAATGATATTGTTTAGTCAATAAGAAAGAGATTTAACCATTTTTTAATTGAGCCATATTTGTATGAGTAATTAATTTTATGACCAATATTGCATAGACTAGCATTAAAAAAAAATTATGAATGTCTTCTTCTTTTCTGAATTTAGATAAAATAATAACAAAAAGAACTAACTTTCATTATCATCATATATAATGACATTTGTTTAATTTTATTTTATCAGTTCTAATAAAAATTAATAAACAAAAACAATAAATCATAATTTTACGCGGAAAAAAATATAATAACCTTATAATCTTGCAAAGTGTATATATATGTATGTATATCATAACAATACAGGTTAATATTCTTTTCCTAAATAACATTCCAATATATTCAACATATAATTTTTTTCTAAAATACAAGTTTTTTGAGTTTTTGCTATGGATACAATATATATGTTCTAGAATAAATAATTTTTATATAACCTTTCGTAATACAAACTATTTAGGCTATCAAATATTCTTGATGATAATTCCTTACTAGCTCAATCTTTAAACATATGCAGATATTCTTAAATGGTATATTGTCAAATCAAGTCAATAATTATAATTTTTAATAGCAATTTATCAGTATAACATTCGTTAACCTTATAAACATAATTTCACTGAAAAATTACGGTTTAAAGCATATAGTGAATTACTTTTTTTGTGAAAAAATAATTTTATAAAAAAGATGCTTAAAAAACTAAACGTTTGATTTGAATCGACATAAAATAGTATCCGCACATGTCCATTTTTATTCTTTGTAAACAAGTTGTAGGCCATCACAAGATTACTGTAATAGTAATGTATCCATATCACAAATCTACTCAAACAATTTTAAATAAATAATTTTATATTTCCATTATACATATATTTTAAGAAATTTTAAATTCGGTTAATACTGTTATGCCCAGCCCACGTTCAATTACATCGTTACGATGGTTAGTCGCTGGACACAACAATACGATAATACTTCGTAAAATTTTTTCTCTAAATAAAGCGATTTAGAAAAATTGTTACCACTTATATCTGCTATTACAAGCATTATAAGTACTAACATTTTTTTCAAATACCTTGAACAATCGTATTAGGACAGTATCGAGTATCCAGGAAATGTACTTACCATTTAATTTAAAAAAAATTTAAACACATGGAAAAGGACACAGGGATACTTGTTTCAAATAGTTCATCTAAATGTAAGTAGGTGAATCTTTTAAACTGATACCACAGGCTTCACATTTCGAGACATTTTGCTCGTTTACTAATGTACACCTTGGACATTCTTTTCCACCACTTGCTAATGGTTTGTCCTCGTTTCCTTTGTGCCTAGACTTTCCACACATCTCGCAAATTTCCTTCGGAGATGAATTAAGATACGTGCAAGTCGCACAATTCCACTTCATATTTCCATCTTCCATTTCGTTCTCTTTCCCAAAATAAGAAAGTCCCAAATTCTTTAAACTATCCGCAATTTTTACAATTTGATCTGACGATCGGTGGGAACGTTGAATTGGAAGCGTTTGACTGCTGTGCCTTTTTTCTTTATTATGGTGAGATAAATGACCTTCTGAAGATGTATCGTGATATCTGTTGGAATCCATTAAATCGAAGGAAGAAGACTTCTTTTTAAATGGTAACGTGTCGTGGTGATAATGTCGACCATTCGTCATAGACGTATCAACCTCATTGTTATCAATTCTTCCGCTTCTTTTTTTTTCAAAACGATATGGACTATACTTCTCATCGTTGTCATTTTGTTTAAATAACAGAGGATCGCATTCCCGTTTGTGTAAAATATCTTCTCGATTGCCGACGTCTTTAGAGTATCCTAAACTTTCTAAATTTCTATACACAAAATCCCACGAGTCATAATTGTTTTTTTCATTTCCGACAGATTTTACGGATTTTTTATCGATTCTACCATAATCGTAATGATCTCCATCGCTGGATTGTCTTTTATAAAAATCTACCTCGTCCAAATCTGATATTCGGTGGGACGTTTTTCGATTGTGCAGCTTATCGTAATTCGCGACCGACATTGGCATATCGAGCTCAATTAATCTACCTGTCGGCACTCTTGTGTATCCTGGCATTGTAGTATAGTAAGGATTGACACTGCTCAAATATTTGTTACCGTGTGGTAAACATCCATAGGCACTACATCGATTTACAAAACCATGATCCATCGGCTGAAAATATCTATAACTTCCAGGTATCGGGTTCGTGTCTTCGATGTATCTATAGTCTGACTGACAAGCAGGCATTGGCATATTGTAATTCGGAGGCATAATGTGATAGGGAACCGATGGCGACGCTGCATCTATACAAGTGGGCTGTGAATAATGATAGTCTCTATAGTTCTCTGCTTTTACTCGATTTTGATGCATTTTTTCCAGGAAACGATAGTTCAATGCTCTAATTGCTTGTTCTGGTGTGCTAACGTGATTTTCCCGAAACTCTAAAACTTCCAACCATGAGATGGTACAATTCTGAGAAACACTCTCCCATATTTGCTTCAATATCTGCATGTAAAATTGTAACTCTATCATTTAAATGTTAACAGTAATGCAGTAAAGCAGTAATAGTATTATAATACTGTATTATGATAAACAAATAGTATTATGATAAATGCTAGTACCTGGCATTCGACAAAAGCAACTATTGCATCTCTGCTTATACTAGATACTTTGTCAGGATCAATAGGACCCTCCAAAGTGAGCACTCCTAACCCTGTATGTTTGTATCCCATTTGTTCAAACATTAATTCTGCTCCTATTAAATTTGCTTCTACTTCATGCTTGTAATATCCACTATAAGTCTGGTATTAAAAAGAGACAAATTAATTTGACATCTTACAATTTGAAACACTTATGTTATGGATCACAAAAAATATTAACCCTTAATATTCTATATTCTTTTCTCCAAGGTTGGGCTAAAAGATTAGCAGCATACAAAGAAATAGCACTCCAGGCAGTAGCAGCTCTATATCCACTAAAGTCTTGCAGTGTAGCTGCTGATCTATGCAATATATCTGCAGTTTCTTGAAATATATATTTATTCTCATTTGGAACAAGGCAGAGATACTCTTTAATAAAACCTAGAATTACAAAAATTTATTGAAAATAAAGCAATGAATTATTACACTTCTTCACTATATATTTACCTTCAAGTTTATGACGTTGTTGTAATTTTAAAGGACTATCATCTGTTTGTAGATAAACCAAATGACTTTGTTCTAATTTCATACTAATTTCTTGTAATCTGTCTTTGCTTCTCAATATTAAATCATTCGCCATTTTTGTCACTGTAAAAAAAATATATATCTCTCATCTCTGTTGTTTCCACATATTTCTAACAATCACCTACAAAACTGTCTAAATTATTTTATACAAACAAAACACTCAAAGCAGAAGGTTTCGACAAAATAATAAAAATTTGATAGTTAAGCAGTAATATTGTTTAGAAATAATGCAAATGCTAGATTAATGGAAACTAAAAACAAGACTGCAAATGTCATTCAGAAATAGAGATCTTTCACACCTATTACAAAACCGTCTAGAAATGCAGTTTTAGATCAAATTCTTGATTCAAACTATGGCTAGCTCCAACCTAAAAATAAATCCTATATTTAGAAGCACTGCTACAGTGTTTACTCCTGGAGCTACCATAATATATTCTCTTTTTGGAAAATGCTCCATCTCAAGTAAAAACGTCCATCGACTTTTTCATTGTGTTTTAGAGACATATTATATCACTTTATAAATAGTAAATATTTTTCTTTGCGACTTTTTTCTTGGTTATGTTCGAGTTATGTCACGAACATGGAACAAACATATACTAGAGATGCAAGCATTGACGCTAGAGATGAGTTTCCAAAAATGTGATCGGAGTTACAAGTACGGTTGATATTCATGTCAGACGACTATTGTTAACCTAACAAATGTCAAACTTACAGTGAATGTTATTGATTACATTGAATTTTCATTTAATTCTTTTTATATTGCAATTTAGCGAGTAGCAGTGATACTCAAACAGAACTCAAAATGATGACAGATATAAAAGAGGCTGAAGTAAAGGAGCTTCAATCGCAAATAGAAAAACATGATAGGTAAGCTTCTGTTTTTATTGTTTATTTTATGTTTATAAACATTAATAAGTTATGTATATATTTGGATAGCAATAAACTTTTTATATCTAAAACGAATAGTGTAGCATATTGGCTGTATAAAATGCACACTTCAATTTCTGAATTTTATAGCGAAGAAGATGAAGTGGATGTTACAGAGGCTGCAAAGAAATTAAGTGAAGGACTTTTAAGCATGTGTCAAGATCGATTTGAACATGTTAAAAAAAAACTAGATGAAGTAAGGTAAGAAAAAATAAAAGAGTACTTTTTGAATCTCTGTCTTTTATTATATTTGTTTAGGGTCAAGCAAGAGACTTTGTATGATAAGATGCAGATTGAGAACAAAAAACTTCAAGAAACTTTTGATGATGTCCAACTGGATGAAATGGTGATTATTAACATAATTTATTTGCCTTGAGAAATGGCACTTCAAATCATTGAATGATGAATTTTATGTAATAAATTTTTAGTAATGCAGTTTCAGACTGTGAAAACTAGTCAAGGAAAATTAGTTACAATGAAAAAAGAGATGGTTTCCATTCATGAAAGAACATTAAAGTTACAAGTGAGTTGTAATTTATGTACTATCTACTTATGTTTCTAATGCTGATCCTAATACACATGTTACTTTTGTACAGAAACGAGTATTGAGACTGCAACAAATAAAACAAAAAGAGGTCTTAAATAGGGAACAACAACGAGAGCAAGAACTTCGTCGTGAACAAGAATTAATCGGTAAACCAGTGATAAGTTAAGGAAAATAACCAATGTCAGTAAAGATACATAGATGTATAGAAAAACATTGTTTTTGTACATACATCACTTACACTGAAATGTGTATTTAAATTCAGTCAATTGATTTTGTCACTTAATACAATTTAGATTTTTTTTTTGTTACCAAACAATTTCCCATTGTCCAGTGGAGTCACATTTCTCAGTACCTTTACATAAATGATTAAATGTTGTTGTAGTAGAAAAACCAATAATTTCCCTATCTTCCTGTATCCTGAATGTAAATGTTGATTCATGTGTTCCTATAAAATACCTAAAAATACATGCTTATGTTACATTGTTCTTACTTATAGCAAAATAAGCGGATTATATTATTGTTAATTCCTACCTGGCATAAGAACAAATTATTTGATCAATAATTGCAATTCCGCCATCTTTAAATTTATTTAATACATAATCTGATGGAATAAATCTAAAAACTGTGTAGTCAGATAAGTATCCTTTGAGTTCATTGAATTCTAAAAAAATTGATAAGATTAATAAACATGCAAAACAGTTAGTATTTTATTCAAATTTAGAGATAATTTACCTTCTTCTACAGCATCTGTAGCAACAAACAACAGATTCAACTGAAGTTTCTTTAACTTCTTTTTTAACTTAGAAGCAGCAGATTTTATTGTTGGTACTGTTGCTGAACGTCCAATTAAAAAATCACGTCTTCTTAAATGAACTGATAAGTAGGGCCCTCCAATTGCATCTCTTTTATTCTATAATTAAAAATTTGTCCTAATCTAAATTTTGTTACTAACTTCGATGAAATTAAGTACCTCTTCTTTAGTCCAATCTTTTGGTCGGTTCGTTTTATCATGCTCGTCGGTTGAATTAAGAAAGTTTTTTCTAAACTCATTTGCAATATCATATAACTCAGAATTATATCGCATACTACGTCTAGCACTCCAATATTCCTTTGTACCATATAAATCATGTAGTGCAATTTCCATGTGATCAAACATTACAGACCTATATGAATAAGTTAACTGATTATTTAGATGAAATGCTATAAATGAAATATGAGTAATATCTTCTCACCTATAAACATTAGGCTTAAGATTTTGCTTAAGATATAATACCGTACCATGATATTTGACACACTTAATAACTTTTGAAGTTACATTGTGATATCCCCAAAAATATCCAACATATTTGTTAGATTCTACTTTATGAAACTGTAGTGATTTATCATTACATTTTATTATTTCATTTTTGTCTTTAAATATACCCGTTTTGAACATTTCGTCATCGTTTTGTAAAATATATACAATATCAAGATTTGTTTCTTCATTTTCTGAAGGATACTCTGGAAAAGTAAATTTCCATTTACTTTGTGATTAATAATAAGTGGATGAAACCTTATACCTTGCAAAAACTGATACATTTCAATAACTGGTACATATTTCTGTAAGCTTGCAATGTCAAAAAATAATCCCCAAGGTAATTGTGCTTGAGATCCAATGTGCTTACTTCGCCAATGGTATAAATTGCCTATAAAAAAGAAAGGAAGGACAGGGCAAAATTTATTATTAATAAACAACACAAAATTATGAATGCATTGTAAAATTACCCCATGGTGGCAAAACCAATTGCCATTTAAATTCTTTGTTTTCTTCAATTAAATTTTTTATAAAAATTGCGGTACGAATATAAACATCTCTTCTTAGGTTAAAGCCTTCCACAGGATTAACATCGTAAAGAATGTAACTGAAAAATTATTACTTATGTAAAAAATATGTTAATTTTAATGCAATATAAATGAAATAAAGAAAAACTTCAAACCGGTTTCGTGAATAGCGTGACTGAACATTGCATTTATTATTATTCTCTTCGTATTCATTTAAAGAATCACAAAATTCATTTTCAACGGTAGTTTGTGTAAAATTAATTAAAAATAATATAAAGTACAATACTCTTAAGGATAATAACAAATCCAACATTTTGAGGTTATATTTTACACGTGCGATAGATCAAGAAGAGCAGCTTTCAAGTAACAATATGAATTAATATAAAAAATACTTCGCATAACGTTATACAGCTGTATAAATTAATTGTAATAAAATATATAATAAATAAACTTGTGTTTTTAAGATCATTTGAGGTTCTTTGTTCCTTTCCTATACATTTTTTTTCTTTTTTTAAAAGATATTTCTCTTAAGTAATGAGATTAAGGATAGTAAAAAACAACAGCAATAATAACAACATTGTACAGCTTGATTTTTGTTATACACGAATTACAGACTTAAATCTCCCTTGTTTGAAAGTGGTTGATGGGTAGATTACAATTTGCTAATTCAATTGATAATAATTATAATAATGATAATAATAATTATTATTTATCATCTTATACAATATTTATAATTCATAGTTCAGTTAACATAGTTTGTGCCCTCCTTATATTAAGCAGGGCTATTATGTTACATTTACTGTGACACATTTGCCATACTTTTCCATTTATCCTATTAAAGTATACACTTGGCATATAAAAATTACAAGGACAATTTATATTGGTAATAATAGTAGCTGTAGTTGTAGTAATAGTTATGATAATGGTAGCACTAATGGTAGTGTAATAATAGTAATAGTCATAGTAATAGCACTAGCAGCAGTAGTGGTAGCGATAATAATATTATCGTTATAATTATTCATTCGATAACTATGTTTTTTGTTATCATCCTTTTTTCATGATTTTAGTTTGTCACACGTATACTTGCATGAAATCTCAGATCCAATATTTGGTTGCTTAAGATTCCAGTATTCTTTGGGCACAGAAATGATCTGTCCCCGCCCCCCACCCCCCTCAAAATTTGTGCCTCGTTGTGTTTTTAAATGTGTGCTGTTTTATAGTTCCTTTTCACATTTTATTAGCAATGACGTTAACCAGTAGTAGAATTCATAGTCAGCAAACATTGGTATATATCATAATACTGAATTGTCATTATAATAAATATAACACGAAATTCATGTCTATTATACTAATTTCCCTCCTGTTTTGCATCTCTATATGAATTCTCTATTGTTAACATCACAGCTAAACAGGTGCTTTATATCAACATGAAACACACTATTTTACACTCAATATAGAAAACGTGAAGTAGTACATGGCATTTCTAACTTTCAAACGAAATGAGCAATGCAGAAACTGCACAGTGCACTCATTCAAGTATACTATATAGTATTATTTTAATAACTTTTTA